GAGCGAACGAAGCGAACGACAAGCGATACGGTCGAGAACGAGGGCTGACAGCGACAAAAGGGTCAGCAGGCGTTCGGCTACCAGTTCGGAAACAGTGTCTACAAAAAGCCGTTCCCGTCCGTGGTATTCCTCGATTTGCGCTCCCGATCGGGGCGCTTCTCTTATGATGCCCTATATCGCCTGCCCTCTCGAACAGGAGGGCCGAGGGAGCACAGCTGAGGCCGGGCTCTCTCTCTCTCTCTTCTCTCCTCTCTCTCTTCTATCGGCTCTCTCTCTCTCACTCACTCACTCCCCCTCCCTCTCTTCCCGCAGGTTCCTCTACATGGCGGACCGGGTGCTTGATCTGCTGATGCCTCAGGCGCGGGTCGCCGTGCGCACGGCAAACTTCCTCTCCAACTACATGCAGAACGCCTACGAGGGCGTCACCGTCGTCGACGCCGACGGCAATGAGCTGACGTCACAAGATCTCACCGAGGAGCAGCTGTTCGGAGAAGTCATCGCCAACGTCGTCGCCGACGACAAACTGTTCGGCAGCGCCATCTTGTTCAAGTCGCTGGCGTTCAAGGGTATGCATGGAGATAGTACGAATGCTAGGGTGTGTGAAAGGATAGTTTGGATGCTAGGGTATCCATGGGGATAGTAGGGATGCTAGGGTATGCATGGGAATAGTTGGGATGCAAGGGTATACGGATAACAGGGGTGTTAGGATATGTGTAGGGATTGTGGGAAAATCAGTAAATTCCACGACTAAAGTCAGGTAACATCTGATGAGGCACAACTATTTAATTTTATATGACGCCAACTATTCAGAAAACATCCAATTACGTTACAATGCAGACGGCTTTTCTATTTATCGTTGCTTTAGGCTAAACCGAAAACTGGCATTTCATCATGACAGACTAACATCCTAAAGGCTTGAAAAACCGAAAGCCAAACTAAAGTCAAAGAAATCTGAGATTTTCCTGCACACTCATTGTTTTACATTATCTACGCACAAAGGCAACATGTTCCTACACCTCGTTAAATATATATGCACCTCGTTAAATGGCTAAAAGCGACCCTGTCGCCATCTGTAGGCGGTTAAAGACGAAATCCGATTCTCTCGTCCACGCGAATATGCGTCTTGTGACATTTTCACGTGAAAGCGAAAGACATTTCCTCTGCTCTTAACAAACGCATTCGCTTGCCTCATTAATGAGCGCAGCCTTATTAATACCGTTATACGGTATCTGTGTGACAAGGCTTGGCTTCTCCTCTTCTCTTTGTGACTCTCTCTCTCTCTCTCTCTCTGTGAATATAGGAAGCACGGGGAGGTTTGGCCCGTACGCATACAGAGACGCGCTCGCGGGAGAGAGGCACATCTACGCCGAGGACTTTGCCATTCTGGGCGGCTACGAATTTTACTTCGAAACAACGGAGAAGACGGACATCGAAACGCTTGCAATGTTCTCGTCGGCGGTAAGTACACGCACGCACGCACGTACACACGCACGCACGCACGCACGCACGCACGCACGC